TACCAAATATCCAAACGACTCTTCGCGACCACCCAAACCCAGCTTCCCGCCCTATGACGTTGGACACTTCACTTCGTGGCGTGCGGACGACCGTGGCTACTACACTGGCGTGGGGTACACACCCACAGAACTTGGTCACTTATTCGGGGCGCGCGTGTGCCCAGCATCCTGCAATTGTGACATAGAATACATGACACAGACAGACAGAGAGAGAGACAGAGAGCAGACAGAGAGAGAGACAGAGAGAGCGGAGTTGGTCACATTTTTGGGGCAAGTTCCTGAGATCGTCGTGTTTTTTGTTGGTCTTGCGCGCGCGAATGTCCACTTTACTTTTTTTTTGCAAGGGAGTATTGAAATTTGATTATGTAAGAACAAGAAAAAGTAGCTCGCGCGAGCTCATGTAACATAAATGTTGAAAAACCATTGGTTTTGTGGGAGTCGGACAGCGCGCGCGGGATGAAATTTGGACATTTTTTTTTTGAAAAACCATTGGGTTTTTGATGTTTTTATGTTGAAATCGTTACGAAACCTAAGGTTCTGGAAGGATTTCGTCTTGCGCGCGCGAATGTCCACTTTACCTTATTTTTTGCAAGGGATTATTGAAATTTGATTATGTTAGAACAAGAAAAAGTAGCTCGCGCGAGCTCATGTAACATAAATGTTGAAAAACCATTGGTTTTGTGGGATTCGGACAGCGCGCGCGGAAGGACATTTTGACATTTTTTCTTAAAAAACCATTGGGTTTTTGATGTTTTTATGTTAAAATCGCTACGAAACCTAAGGTTTTGGAAGGATTTCGTCTTGCGCGCACGAATGTCCACTTTACCTTATTTTTTGCAAGGGATTCTTGCAATTTGATCAAGTAAGAACAAGAATTTTCATTTTATAGTGTTTTTTGCAAGGGAAAACGAGCGTCAACAAAAAACCGGATCCGGTACCAATCGTTTTGCCTGAGACTTCCTCACGAAAATGATGAAAATGAGGCTGCGGCCTAGGCGCGGCGGGGGGGTCGCGCACCAGGGGTCCCAACAATAATTATTCTTAAGAAGAAATAATGTTCAACATCAGCAACAACGACAACGACAACGACAACGACAACGACAACGACAACGACAACAGCAACAGCAACAGCAACAGCAACAACAACATGCAAACACACCAAGTCTGGCGGCAACCCCAACGCGGCCCGATGAGGGACTCGGCTGTGTGGCGGACCCCATCGGGCTGGCAAAATGTGGAGAACAGCGTCAGGAGAGGAAGAAAAAAACGCTGGTGGCGGAACATGTGCGAACGCCCTCATGAGAACACAAACTCAAGCTACAATCCGAACGTCCGAAGGGCGACCATTTTCTCCCACCGGCGCTTTGGACGATTTGGTGTCCCCACACTTCGGTTATCCTCGTCTTCGGTATTCCTCCCACATATTCGTCCTCGTCGCCCCTTGTCCACATTCCACGTAAGCAAAGGCGCAAATCAAATCCAAGCCGAAAAACGTAAAACCATGCTACGTCGGGCAGTACACACAACTCACTGTTTTTTGCCATTCGACGAAGCCCAGCGGCACACGCCAAACAACACATACACACATCTACACGATTCGGAATCGGAGAGACCCGAGCTGGAGGTCCGAACGAGGGATGGACAATGAGGAGCGGGGATGTGCCCAGAGCAACCTGGACGGCTGCCTTGTCCCGGGGCTAGCGACCTGTTCCTTTCGCCACGCGTTGGGGCGAAGGTTTACGATGGTATCGAGTGATTCGCAGGCAGGGCGAAAAATACTCGCACTTTGTTTCGGGCGTGGCTAGTTGTGCTCCAGGCCCAGAGTGCCCCCAGGGTTTCCCAGGAGGCCCCCATCAGCATCATCATCATCATGATCATTGTCACTAGCAGCAGCAGCAGCATCATCATCATCATCACCATCATCGTCATCACCACCATCTCACCATCCACATCATCATCATCAGCAGCAGCATCAGCATCAGCATCAGCATCATCAGCATCATCATCATCATCATCATCATCATCAGCATCATCATCATCATCATCATCATCATCATCATCATCATCATCATCATCATTACCAGCAGCAGCATCATCATCGTCCTCCGCACTGCCATGATCATAATCAGCAGCATCATCATCATCATCAGCATCATCATCATCATCGCCCTCATCATGGTAACCATCAACATCAACATCATCAGTATAGGTATCGTCACCGGCATAATGATGGGCATCATCAGTACCATCAACATCACCATACTCATCCTCATCATCATCATCATCACTATCAGCAGCAACAGCAACAGCACAAGCATCAGCACCATCATCATCACCGACATGATCGTCATCCTCCTCATCATCCGTTACAAACATCGGCATCAAAATGGTCAACAGTATTATCATCAAACAAGTTGCATTATCATGGCATCATCATCATCGCCATCATCGTCCCATCACCACCACCATCATCATGATCGTCATGTTCACCATCATCATCCTCATCCTTATCCTCATCCTGATCCTCATCTTCATCCTCATCCTCATCCTCATCATCATCGCTGATACCAGTTCCTAATCAGGACAACTCGCCTGGTGCCTGTTTTTGGATGGGCTAGGCTGGACACGCGAAGCGAACAGAATTTGACATACTTGTTCCCAGACAAGATTTAAGACGGGCGTGTCCCCCTACAGAGGGATTTTCGACGAAAAAAAAAATACCCAAAAGATACTCCAAAATTGCCCAAAAGTATTCACAAAATAATTCCCGGACTATTAGTTGACTATTTTTGAAAATTGCCCCTGTAGAGGGACAGGCCCGACTTCAGACAAGATATCAGATCCGCACGAACAGGGAAATGAAATCCATGAGACTGCCACTCAGCCGTGATGCTGTCCCATTGGGACCATCGGTTCTGCGCACAAGCGGAACAGATTTTCATCGCCGTCGCCTTCGCTGGCATATGCGCACATCTAAGGTCCAAGGTTCGCGGGGGCAATGTGTGACATACTGTATGTCTTCCTCGCGCACAATTTACTTGACACCGGCTGAGAGCTGACTGCGGACAGAATCAGCATGTGCATTGCATCTCTCGCTTGGTCGAGATGGGGATGCCTCTCAGAGCTTGGGAATAGAACCTCCCTCCTCACCATCCCGTCGTCCCTCCTCCTCCTCCTCCTCCTTCTCAGCCTCCTCCTCCTCCATTCCGTTCCCTTATAAATAACTTCTCCCTGTCGCACCCCGAGGCCAGTTTCAGGGCGGGCCGGACGTGTCGCCTGAGATTTCCTCACCATTTATGACTCTGAGACTCTGATGCTTAAAAATTGGCAAAGTGTTTCACAGATGGAGGGCGGGTCGTTTTCAAAATGTGGCTCTCGCCTTAGCGCCACACAAAAAAGTTTTAAACACGTGCAAGAGTTCCACGAATTGAGGGCGGGTTGTTCCAAAATGTGGCTCTCGCTTTAGCGCCGCGCACATTCGTTTTAAAAATTTGCAAGGGCTTCGCGAATTGAGGGCGGGTGGTTTTCAAAATGTGGCTCTCGCCTTAGCGTCGCGCAAGTAAGTTTTAAACACGTGCAAGAGTTCCACGAATTGAGGGCGGGTTGTTCCAAAATGTGGCTCTCGCTTTAGCGCCGCGCACATTCTTTTTAAAAAATTGCAAGGGCTTCACGGATTGAGGGCGGGTGGTTTTCAAAATGTGGCTCTCGCCTTAGCGCCGCGCAAATAAGTTTTAAACACGTGCAAGAGTTCCACGAATTGAGGGCGGGTTGTTCCAAAATGTGGCTCTCGCTTTAGCGCCGCGCACATTCGTTTTAAAAATTTGCACGGGCTTCGCGGATTGAGGGCGGGTGGTTTTCAACATGTGGCTCTCGCCTTAGCGCCGCGCACATTCGTCTTTCAAACTTGCAAGAGCTTCACGGATTGAGGTTGGTTCCTTTTCAAAATGTGGCTCTCGCCATAGCGCCACGCACATTCGTTTTGAACATTTGCGAGAGCTTCACGGATTGAGGGCGGGTGGTTTTCGAAATGTGGCTCTCGCCTTAACGCCGCGCACGTTCGTTTTAATAATTTGCAAGATCTTCACGGATTGAGGTTGGTTCCTTTTCAAACTGTGGCCCCCGCCATAGTGCCACGCACAATCGTTTTGACAAATTGCAAGAGCTTCACAGATTGAGGGCGGGTGGCTTTCGAAATGTGGCTTTCGCCGTAGCACCGCGCGCGTTCGTTTCAAAGCTTGCAGAAGATTCACGGATTGAGGGCGGTTCCTTTTCAAAATGTGGCTCTCGCCATAGCGCCGCGCACATTCGTTCTAAAAAGTTGCAAGAGTCTCACTGATTCCCATGATCAACGTACCAGACATGGCGTTTTGAAGAATTAAAGAACATGCGGGTGCAACACTAATATTGATTCGCGGTGCCGAAATCCCAAAAATGGCATTATTGCACGATTCCGGATCGTCAAGACGCAGCAGTCAGGACGATCCGTGGCGTTGGCATCCCGAGCTCAATGTTTTGGCATGCTTCAGGATCTTCAAACGGTTGCCTTCCAACGAGGCAGTTCCCTCAATGGAAATGAACCGTTGTAGGGGCCTGAAAAGAAGAAGCTTGGAGGGAGGGTGAATTCCACCATCTTTGATGACTTTGGGGTTTACGCTGGTCCTCCTCTTCTTCCTCCTCCTCCTGGGCATTCGTGCAAAACCTGCGCCAAGTGCTTGATCGGATCAAGCTCGACCCTGGCCGAGCCGCGCGGAGGGCTGCACGGTCGCCCGAACCGTCGGCGAGACGGTCGCATCGAATCGTGGGCATGCCCGCCTTCCTCCGGCCCACTCCTTTGAAGGGGCCCTGAGACACACAAATAAATACACACAAATAAAAGGATTCCCCATATTTTCCTATATTTTCTAGGTTTGTGTCTTCCCCTCCACTTCCAATATTTTCCCATATCTTCCTGGGAGTGGACGATTAATTGTGTCTGTGTTTTTTCCCCTCTTGATCCTCGCCTCCACGTGCCGATAGGCGGGGGACGGGACGCCCGCGCACGTGTAGCTGACCGTGATCGTGTCCTCCCAGCTCCTTCGGCCACATGCAGGGAGTGGCCCTAGGCAAGAGTGACCTTCGGTGCGCGGCCCGCGACCCCAGGGGGGGCACTTTGGGGACACCACCGAGCGCGCGAACCGCTGCTATCGCACCGCCATCGGCGATCAAAGGACCCCACGGGGCTCGCACCAAAGGTCACTCTGGCGTTGGGATCACTCTTACGTGCAGCCGACTCCTCTCGATGTGCGCGGGGTCTGGTGGGGCCGGACTGGGGGACCCGCTCGGGGTGATGCAGTTGGCGCCCTTGTCCGTCCACGTAGAGGGCGCGCCAAACTCGTTCTGTATCAGGATCGTCTGGGTGGAGGACCCCACCAGAGAGAGCGGGCTGGTGATCTCGACCACACGCGTCACGTCTGGGGTGGGGGTGGGGGCCTGGCACCTGTAGGTCACCTGGGGGTCCACTGAGTCCAGTCCTCCCCCCACCTCCTTCCTCCTCAATGGTGGCGCGGGGAGGGGGGATGAGGACACCAGGAGATCGGATGAGCCCACCTCCTCCCCCTTCTCTTCCTCCTCATCATCTTGTTCTTCTCATGAGAATGACTTAGAATAGCAGTCTTCTTCATATGAGTATTAGTGGTCGTGTCATTAGTCTGATTCGTCTTAGCATTAGCATTAGTCTTATGACTGTCAGTATTATTGATATTATGAATATTCGTAGTATTGTTCGCAATATTCTTGATGTTAGTATTAGTATTTATGGCACCACTACTGCTATGATTAACAGTATTAGTAGTATGATTAATATTAATAGTCCTCCTCCGCCTCCTCCTCCTGCTGCTCTTCCTTCTGCTGCTCCTCCTTCTGCTGCTCCTGCTCCTGCTCCTCCTCCTCCTCCTTCTCCTCCTCCTCCTCCTCCTGCTCCTCCTCCTGCTCCTGCTCCTGCTCCTGCTCCTGCTCCTCCTCCTCCTCCTCCACCTCAGCATCAGCAGCAGCAGCAGCAGCAGCAGCATCATCATCATCATCATCATCATCATCATCATCATCATCATCATCATCATCATCATCATCATCATCATCATCATCATCATCATCAT